CTTCACAGGACAGTCGTCCTTTGCGTGAGAGGAATCACCACAATTCATGCATTTAGCTAGCATGTAGCAATTTTTAGTTCCGTGACCCCATCCCTGGCACTTACGGCACTGGGTGAGGTTTTGGAAATTTCCTCCAGTCTTCCTGAAGTGTTCCCACTTCACTCGGACATGGAGCATAAGGCTAGCTTTTTCTAAGGCCTTAAGGTTGTTTAGTTCACTAGACTTGAAGTGAACTAAATAAAAATCATTAGAAATCCCGTTGCGCGAATCGCCAGGACGGGATTTCATTTTCATTTTGATTACTTGGAGTGGCACAACTCCAAGTAATTTTGCCAGTTCATCTTTGACCTGATCCAGGGATTCACCACTGGGCAATCCTTTCATGACAACCTTGAACACACGTTCAGTTTTGGTGTCGTAAGTAAAAAATTTGTGCTTCTTCTCAGTAAGATACTTGAGAAGACATTTAAATCCGTCCAAGGTTTCAGCCAATACACGACATTCACCCCGACGTCCAATTTGTAGTGAAAACTTAACTTTCACGAAATTCAAAAGTTCCATGCGAAGAGCATGGAAATCGGTAGTGGTTATCACAATAGGGGGAATCTTTTCCTTCTTGGCATTAAGCCGGGAAAGTTTACTAGAATTTTTCTTGGATGATGGATCATTCTCATCATCCGTGAGCAAATCAAATTGATTACTCAAATTAATTTCTTCAGAAGGGGGGTCAAGAGTTTGCCCCTTTCTTTTGCGTTTAGGCGCCATGGCGGCAGTAAATGTTTTATCCAAATCGACTTCCAAGCAGATTACTATAAGAATCTGAAGGATCGAAGAGGAATTTTCCAAATCGATATCCAAGAAGGATTACCTCGGGTAGGGTCCAAACAAGGATCGAAGAGGAATAAGAGGAGTTGAACAAGGTAGAAAATTTTTTACAGGTTGAGCACTGAAAAGTGCTGTTTAAATTTGTTGTAGCTTTAGGTAGTAGTAACACTTCCTTAAGCAAAAAGCAAATAGATCCGCACGGCAAGAGAGCACGATGCGGACTGAAGATTAAACATTGTAATAATCATTGTATGTAGTCTACACTGGCTTGACGAAATGGAAATAAAGAATAAAGAATGAAGATAAAAATTGATTCGGTCGGAGCGCTTCTTTTGTTTTTGGGAATAATGGGTGCAAACCTTCATATCATGTGTTCTCATTGACTTCGTTCCGTAGCTTATTAACTAAAGTATCGTACCAAATGCATAATTGAATTGACGAACTCTGAAATAATGGATTTCTATTCAAGTTTTCTGCTCAATAGGCCCAAAACGGGCGATTAGGCCGAAGTAGTTCTCTACCCTACGTTATTATGACATTTTGTATTTTTAAGTTACACTCAAAAAATTCCACACGTTTGATCGAAATGTTTTAACACTTGATTTTTTAAATGCACAATCACATTTACTTTAAGTGTATTTCACCTTGGTTCAATGTGTTATACACGTTAATTTCTAGTGTTTCAAACTTTGAAATGTTGAAACTATATCACTATCTATTCAAGTGTATTGCACATTGAAACACACTACTGTTCAAAACAGATGGATTTAAAGCGTCTTACATTTCAATGCGATGTGAATTGCTTGCTCAGAAAGGTAAACATCGAAAACAAGACTTGTGACTTTATCCTATCAACCCGCCTCATATATGAGAACAACCGTGGCACAGTGAGATCGAACGAAGACTCCGGCTGGTTCGATACCTGTGGGAGAATAGAATGTAACCATCTTCCCAGATCACTCTCATTCCATTTTTGTTGCCAGTTGGTGAGAACGTACTGACGGGAAATTGAAAAAAAAAAAATTCCGCAAAGGCGATTTGTCGATCAAAAATATCGCCTTCCATAGCGCCCACCTAAGCTAGCGAGTCCGTTTTCTTATTACCCGGAATTGAGCAATGAGATGGAACCCAAACTAAGGTGATAGTATAGGAGCAGTTAGATAAAGTACTCAATTTAGCTCGGATTTCGGTCAGGAAATACGAGGAGTGCTTCATCGGCCTCATTGATCGAATAGCCTCCAACGAGCTACTCTAATAAAAATTGTATGGTTAATTTGCTTAACGACGTGTTTTGGGTATCATCCAAACCATTTGTGGAATAGTTCAATGATTTGGGTTATCGTTCGGTATCGTTTCTGGTTATTTTTTATTAGGGTAACGCTATCAGTAAAAATAAAATAGTGATCAGATGGTAGTGAGGCAATTTGCTCTACTGCGTAAAATATGGCTGCTAGTTCCGCAACGTATACGGAACAGGGTTTTTGCAGTTGATACTAGGCGCTATGAAATTCGTTGAATATTCCAAATCAAGTGGAAGCGTTAATAGTTGACCCATCTGTGAAAAACTTGTACTTGTACTTGTTTGCAAAAATTAAGGTAACAACCATCGACCGATGGTGATCTGGTATTACACGGATTTCTTGCAACATGGTCAGATCAAAACTTACAGAGGAACTATAAAAGTCTTGGAGGTAAACACGAGAGGAATTGAATGAAGAAGGGCCAATCTCCAGCGTCATGTACTCGTAATAGAGACTCATGAATCTTGTTTGAGGATTACTGTCGAGCAGCTTCTCAAAATTTCTATTACCAATGGGTTCATTACTTCACAACGGATAAGAAACCGGAAGGACAGTTCCGCGAAATGTTCTGTCAGTGGGAGAACACCCGCGAGTACTTCGAGGCTCATCGTATGAGTCGAGTGCATACAGCCTAGCGCAATACGAAGGCAACGGTAATGAACCCGTTGCAGCTTCAGGATATGTGTTTTCGCCGCTGATTGAAAGCAGAAGCTACCGTACTCTAGAACCGTCAAGATGGTTGTTCGATACAACCTGATCAGATCTTCCGGGTGTGCTCCCCACCAAGTTCCAGTAATTGTACGAAGAAAATTAATTCTTTGTTGGCATTTTTGTTTCACATACGCAATATGTTTTCCCCACGTGCTTTCGGAATTGAACCAGACACCTAAATACTTGAAAGATATAGGGTTAAATACCCCATTTACGGCATATTAAGCACAACCCACACTTAGTCTTTCTTAATCTAGCGTAATTTATCACCAAACGAAATGTTAATATTATTGTTGGCTTCCAAATTTATTTACCTTTCCGTATGTACCGTAATATTTGATAAATAGTAACCAATCGTTAAGATATTGTCAAAAGTCTAACACCACACCAGTCTGTGCTAACACTGTTTCTTGACGCCAAACTCGGGTTACGGATTCTAAACTCAGCCTAACGCATTGAAACGGTAACCAGCGTAAACACATAAATGAGTAAAAAAAATACACATTTTTTATATTTATATGCAGCTGTCAAAAAATGTGTATATTTGGAGATTCTAAAATGTGTAAAAAAAATACACATTTTAAGAATGTAGTACCAGTCAAAAAATGTGTATTTTTATACTCATTAATGGGTAAAAAAAAACTTCAAACATTGCTGCATCCTACTTTGTTGACGCACGCCATTTGCTAAATTTCAGTGAAGAACAGCAGGAAAATTGATAAAACTACGGTCCAAACTGGACAGTGCGCAACGATGGACATGCTAGAGTGTGCTAGAGGGTAGGTGGTTAATACATTTTTCAAAGCTTTTAGTTTTAGTTTAGTTTATATACTTCATATCCTGATTTTTGTTTTTCTTCCCTTGATTTGTTTCCCGTGCTGAGCATCAATGCTACCGATGCCAGGGAGGAATCTCCCATACCTGGACCCTACCTATCGACCCATCAACTCATGAACCGGAGACCAATGGCTTCACTTCCCTTCCGAAGGAAGGCGTGATCCTCGGCACGATCAGAGATGTTATGCCTCAGAACATCCCGGCAGCGTCGACTGGGATTGAGAGGAAATCACGCTTACCAACACCGCCGCTACTTATTTTTGTTGATTACATTTCTGTTTTTAATAAAATATATACAATAATCGAGCAATCTTTATTTTACCATTGACACAAATAAGAAAAATCCGAAGTTAATAAAAAACTATGAGCACCCATTATATTTAAATTCTAGAAATGATTACTTTTTACACATTTTGCTGTAAAAACCGTTATTGAAAAATGTGTAAAAAATACACTTCTTTTGACGTTTGCTGGGTTTACACATAAATGTGTAAACGCAGTTTACACATTTTATGAGTAGGCCCCTTTTTTCACGAAATGTGTCAAATTTTACACATTAATGTGTTTCCGCTAGTTACCGTGCGAATGAAGATAAAAATTCAGTGTCAACATTTCAAAGGGGCGTAATTGCTTTTGTAAACAATGACTTTAGCCGTCAATTTCTCGCGTATGATATCTTACCTCTCCAATATTACAATGCTAGCTGATAGAGGAAACATTCCTCTACCTGGTGGTGTCATTATTTTTCATGAGTGAGTTTTTATTTGCGAGAAATCGATGGCTAAAGCCATTGTTTACAAATGCAATTACGCCCCTTTGAAATGTTGGCACTGAATTGATTCGAGGAGCGCTTTTTTTGTTTTTGGGAAAAATGGGTGCAAACCTTCACTGCTGTCACGGTATAACATGTTGCCTATACGCGCCTGCCACGGGGCTGCATTACTGTATACCATCTCAAGGCATTTCAAATTTCCTATTGGAAAAAAGTTCTCTTTGAAACCGACTCTATTTCATTTGGCGCTGTCCTCATGAAAGAGATTGGTAGAATCAAACTGGAATTCCAACTACATACATACTTGTCAACCTAAAGCTATGTACACACCATGTAACTAGTTGCTTGCAATAAATTGCATGCAATTTTATATTTTTTTTGCATCCCCGTGTCTAATCGTCCCATTTTGGTAGTTCAGAGAAACACACACTGAAAAGTTCGTATGGAAATTTATAGTATGCAACTAATTGCATGGTGTGTATAGGGCTTACATCTTAAATATCAGCTGGTTGTCATTAAGGCCGACGTCTGGAACAGTAAGCATATATTCATTCCTATTTATGGTTAGACATATATCCGATTTCATTCTATAAAATTGAGAAAAAGAAAATCATTATTAAACATGGGTAATATAAAGTTACTAGTGCTGGCACTAGCATGTGTTCACATTGTACTAAGTTTGGCCAGTGCAGACAGTGCCGCCGACAAGTATTCCAAGAAAGCTAATACGCTTCCTGATTCGGAGATTTACGAGCCGGATTTTCGCAACATTCAACGACCCTTTCGGATGGCCAAACTTAATATGGTTTGGGCAAAAGCCCAGCATGTAAGTAAATGTTATTTATATTTGGATGCCCGTTATGTTCCATTGATGTTTCGAAAACATAACATATAAAACAAAAATCACCACAATTCACAACACCACCCAACAAACAATTTGAGTTGATTAAAATCTGAATGAACCTTTTTTTTAGCAGAAGAAGCAAATATTTCGCTGAATAAACTCATATTCAGCTTTCAATGTTTGTTGGGTTGGTATCGCATATTGATTGGACATGTAATTGAAGCTGACACAGTTCAGCATCTGTTAAGTACTTAAGTCAAACCCTTAATTTGATCCATCATTTTAGCGACTAACCGAACCGAAGCTGAAATCCCTCTACACTGAGCTCAAAATTCACGATAAAGAAGAAATAGCATGGAAGCAACTGAACTCACAGCACAAAGACAAGGAAGGCCTCAAAGAGGCTGAGCTGCGAAAAAAGTTGATCGGAATCATGAGCACATACGGATTGTTGGAGTATTTTGACGACACGCAGGACCCGGAAAAGTATAAACCCTACAAGGCATACTCCGGAAAAGTAGACAGTTATATGAACAAAAGTTTGTTCAAAGATAAGAAGTTGAACAAACTTTGGGAGAAAGCGGAGACGTCGGGATTTACGAAGGAAGAGCTGGATACCTTGAAGGAGGAATTTGAGCATCATCAGGAGAAAATTGATGTGTACTACAACCTGTTGGAGCAATTGGGTGATGATGATGGGAAAGGTGCTAATGTGCATGAAAATGCGGTGAATGAGGACGAGCACGATAAATTCAATGAGATTGGGACGGCTGAGGACGACAGTAATGATATTATGACACAACAGAAAAGTGAGAATAAGCAAAATTCCTATCTGCACAAATCAAACCAACTCAGGGACAAACATCGTAACATTAAGGATAATTTTGATCGCCTTGAGCGGATTGCTTCCAAGGGTCCCAAAAGCCAGGATTTCATAGAACCTAAAGTGCAAGGATTATGGAGAATAGCGTTGAATTCTAATTTTACCGCTGATGAATTGGCCTCGTTGAAGGTGGAACTGTTGCATTATGAGAGCCGGTTGCTGAAGCTACGACACATGCATGCGGAACATGCTTTGAGTATGGAGAAGCACAAGAACGCTCAGCATGGTGATAAGGCCAATACTCACAAAATGATGGAGGAAAACATCAAGAAGCAAACGAGAAAGGTTGAGAAGATTCAGGAAGAAGTAGAGAAGCGCATTTTAAAGCATTCCGACCTTTGAGATAAGTAGTAGGATAATATGCAAAAAAATCTGAACATGATAGTGCCAATTATGTGCTAAAGCATTTAAAATCGATTCGTCCATGATGTCTCTCGAATACATAATCAAAGCAGCTGTTTGTCTTTCTATTGTTTTTATTTAGATTTGTGTAAAATAGAGGCCACCAAACATATATTTTCTGTGAACCTTAAGCAATTGAACAATAAATTTTCTATTTCTTTACACTAACTACACTTTGTTCACTAATTACATTCACAGGATCTTTAGTGTAAGGTCTTAAACATTCTCTCGCAAGGTCTTGGTGAAGAAGAGTGTCTAAAACGAACATTTACCCCACCGATACACAGTGGTTCAAACCTACCAAAAACGTGCTTTTAAATATGTTATTTTAGAAGTTGGCAGATCATAAGCTTGCTTTCCATCCACCTACACTGCCCGTAACGAATAACTGTCCCATTTTTGCTTGATTTCCTATTCGTCCCATATTCCCCCAATTATGCTTTTATGGGCAGTACAAGGGCTCTGAATATATAACATTTTCTAATCATGCTTAAGAGTGGTTACCCGAGCAAAGTCGGATATCAAAATACTTTGATAATTTGATAATTTATGACAAGAGCATCCACATTTATCACTGAAATCTACATTTTTTCTTACGAGTCAACCAGGATGCTTGTTGCAAGGGTGACCAGCAAACCGAGAAAACTGGGAATACCCGGAAATGTCCAGGAATTTGAAAAGTAACCGGGGAAAATCCGGGAATTCGATGAGAGAACCGGGAAAAATAAATTAACCACACTATAGGAATAAATTTTCACACCAGAATTTCAGAATAAACCATTAAAAGAGAGTGATTTTTTACCAAATGAATGTCTCTCTTTGCTGCATAATTATCTTCAGATACCCGCCTTATTGTTTTTAGAATTTATTCACTCAGCAATATTTCAAATTGATTTTTGCGATTCAATTTCAGATGTAAAGTGCATGAGCCTTAAAACAAAATATTGAAGACTTGGAATCCTGCTCTGAATTATTATAGAATTCTTCTAAAATCAGCCAGAAAACACTCTGCGTAATAATTACCGTTGAATTCTTTTTTGAATTTCCTTGAAACCCCTCCCTTGTAAGAAATTGTTTGAAATCCGTCTTAGAATTCCCTTTGACTTGATTTCATTGAAATCCTTTTTAAAATTTTCTTTTAACTCTATTCAAAAGAGCATAAATCTTTCGAAATTTGGAATTACTTTAGTATTTAGAAGTTCCTTGGAGTATTTTAAAGAATTTTTTTTCTAATTATTAGCAATTTTTTTGCAATAAATGTTGTTGCAGCTCTTTGATGAACCTTTTCAAAAATTACCTAATAATTTAATTTAGAACTTGCAATCTTCTCCACAGAAATTCTTCCAAATTCTTTTAACAATTTCTAAAGACTTCATGTCAGAATAATTCTGGAAATTCTGCTCAGAACTTCTCCTTCAAAAACTATGCGGGAATCCTCTTCAATAGTTGTTTGAAATCAACACTTTGAATACTTTGAAATTTTACTAAAAATTCCAGGGTTTGTCCACAAGATTCTATCGATTGTTCTGTAATTTGTTTTAACCCTTAAAATGCTTTTAAGTCTCAGAGCCTTGACAATTATGACTGCACGAGTATTTTATATTTTTTTCAAATCTGTGATCTTGGAAAATTTTTGAACTCTCACATTTTAACTATTTTTTCTCCAAATCTTGCATCATGAAAATTGTTATTAATCCCAAATTTTGAAGAAAATTTCTATTTTCAGATTCTACACAAATTTCAAAGCCCCAGAATCTTGGGAATATATCTTATTAGTAAATAATCTTTCAGTGATTTTTTTTCCAAGTATTGGTTTATTGGTCGTGGGTATTAAATTTCATGAAACATGTTTAGTTTCACGTTGAGCGAGCTCAAACGTCAGTAGGTTTCACATATATTTTTTTTCGTGTTTAGCTTTGTATGTGAATACACATTTTGAAACATTTTTTTTTAATTAAATCTCTTATTCTTCACAATTCTTTCTTAAAATCCATTCATCCAGATTGCATTTGGACAAGTGACTTTAATCTCTGTCACTCAATAAATTCTAGGGCTTTGAAATCATAAGATGTATCGAGCATAAAATGTGGCAGAATTCGATTTATCAAAGTATATCTCGAAAGATCAATAAATTGTTTTGAATACATTAAGTGACACATGAAGTTGAATTTTTCCTATAACTTTAGAAAACACTTTCTGTAATTTGGCTTTTATTTTTCCCACAAATAATCACTGAAAATTTACAGTTGACCACGTTTTAAAAAATGCGTACAATTTCTTTTTTTGTTGAATATTAACAACCGGGATTTTTTTTTTTTAGATTTGAACCGGGAAAACCGGGAAAAAACCGGAATTTAAAAATGAAAAGTCACTGTTGTTTTCTTTATGAACATCACATAGACAATTATGATTTTTACAGTTATATTTTACAAAATTTGTTGATATTAATCTACCTGTGAATTTTATTTACAAATCGATATAACTGATAGAACTGATTGAAATATAATTTGGTTTTTATTTTGAATAGATGAAAACTTATTGATAACATTCAATTTTAAATCTTGATATAAACCAAATAAAAATATATTCAGATTACTAAATTTGATATCACGTCGGCGCCGGTAGTGTAGTGGTAAGCATGATTACCTCTCAACCCAGCACGCCTGGGTTCAATCCCTGTCGGCGCCACCGGGATGTTCTGAGGCATAACATCTCTGATCACTCAGGGAAGTAAAGCCGTTGGTCCCCGGTTCATGAGTTGATGGGTCGATAGGTAGGGTCCAGGTGTGGGAGCTGCCTTCCTGGCGTCAGTAGCATTGGTGCTCAGCACGGAAAACAAGATCGACGGAAAAAACGTATTTTTATTTTTTGTTTTCCTGCCATAGTTATAATAACATGTTGATTACTTATTTTGTTTATTATTAACGAAATTACTGATATCAAAACGCATACATGGATTTGTTATCAAGAAAACAGGATTTGTTATCTTTTTAATATTTTTCATATACTAGAGCTCATTTTTGTTATGATTACTGTTAATTCGACCACACGGTAGGCAAAATATGTTATCACGAACGCTTATATCAAAATATCAAATTTAGTTTTCATTTTGATTTCATTCTCTGCTCGGTTAGTGTCTTTAGTAAAGGTGTATCTTTTCCTTTATTTAACGTCGGTCTCTGTTCCGCAATCTAGTGCCAATCACCGACAGACATCGATTGCCATCGATTGACGGTAATTGAATGTGCAGGAAGGCAGCTTCCATACCTGTGTAGGATATCGCACCCATTCAATCAAACACACATGGGCCGGGACCAACGGCCTTACTTCCCTTCCGAAGGAAGACGTGACCAGAGATTTTTATGCCTCAGAAAAATCCCACCGACCTCGGCTGGGATTGAACCCAGACCCATTGGGGTGAGAAAGCAGTCACGCTTACCACTACACCACCGGCGCCGGCTTCAGTAAAGCTGTAGATAATGCTAATTCTACACGCAAATCAAAAATTTATTCCAGTGAATGTTAGTTCCGTACATTGACTAAATTACTTGGAGTTGAGCCTGTCCAAGTAATCAAAATGAAAATGAACGATTCGCGCAACGGGATTTCGAATGATTTTTATTTAGCTCACTTCAAGTCTAGTGAACTAAACAACATTAAGTCCTTAGAAAAAGCTAGACTTGTGTTCCATGTCCGAGTGAAGTGGGACCATTTCAGGAAGACTGGAAGACATTTCCAAAACTTCACCCAGTGCCGTAAGTGCCAGGGATGGGTGTCGAGTCTTCACGCGAATAAAACCACTCAATTAACTGTGTTATTCAATTTCTATCTTTATTCTCTCCATAGCACAAATTAGCACGTCCGATCACTTCAGCTCTCGATCTCCTCCAAATCCCTTCACTCATCCTTTAGCCCGCTTTACACTATCCTTCCTCTCTCCACAAGTTCAGCCCTCTCTACACCGAGGGGCAAGACCATACATACCACCCTTCTTTTAATAAAACTGTTGTAACTTCTTCGGCTCAATTCTCAACTTTTTCGTAGATGAAAACAAATCATTCACCTTCGCTTTTTATCTATCTCTCTCCGCAGATTCATCTGTAAGCAATTCTTCTTCATCCTGTAGGTCCCTCTCATCTTCCTTCGAGTCCCTTGGTAAAGCTTGTCCTTGATCTAGGTTTTAGTTTCTTACCGGATACTGTTGACCGCAAGCTTACTTCCAATCCCACTCTGTCAGTTGTGTGTGTGTATTCAATCTAACCCCCACTGGCCGGCAGTGGTATTATGGCAGAAATCTGCTTACAACAATCCTTGATGTAATTATTTAAAGCAAGTTTAGTCCGGGAGCAACCCATTTCAGAATGCCTGGTAATTCACGTCCATTCCGAGGTTACTTTCACATACAATAAGCCCCGCATGTAAACACTACCGTTATCATATGAATAATGGTACTGCAAATACACTTCCAGATTTCGAAATGCAATGTTTCGAAATCTGGCACGTATTTAGTAATATATGGAAATATGCATTTATGATTGATTATAAATCAGATGGATCTCACCAAATTCTGCCTCCGAAAAAGGACCGGTTTGTTCACTTGCGGTAATCGAAAAAATCTTCCGCGTTGTTTTTACAACCCAACACGACATTTTGAATCACATTCGAAGTTTTTCATTTGCACCGAATTTTTGCTTGACACCAAATTCGCTGCATCCTCCGGAAGGCAGAACGCCAGAACCAAGAAAAGAAAAAAAAAAATACCCGGTAAAACTCTTCTTGGGAGGGAGGCAAAGCACCAAAAATAAACGAAATGAAAAACCGACCGACGCGACACCACAGCAACACAGCTACTCGAAACAAATTCTTGTCCCAGATTTTTCACGTTAATTACAATATCACTAAAAAAACTTCTGAAGACAAGATAGATCTTAATTTACACTTATCCACACGCGAAAACTAACATTCGTTTGATTTGGTACAATTAAAAAATATGCGAAAAACAGATGAAATCAGCGCCAGCGAAAACAAACCCAACCGTTCGCGGGCCTTCCAATCCCACTCTGTCAGTTACCTCAAAAAGCTCCGGCAAGAAGTCAGTAGCTAGCTTATTATCCTTTTTAAT